GGGGGAAGGGGGAGGTGTCACATGGAAGGGAGGGAGGGTGCAGTGCTGAAGGGGAAGGGGAGGGTGTCACATGGAAGGGGAAGGGGGGAAGGGGAGGTAGCATGGAAGGGAAGGGGAGGGTGTCACATGGAAGGGAAGGAGGTGTAGCATGAAGGGGGAAGGGGAGGGTGTCACATGGAAGGAAGGGGAAGGTGTAGCATGAAGGGAAGGGGAGGGTGTAGCATGAAGGGGAAGGGGAGGGTGTCACATGGAAGGGAAGGAGGGGTGTAGCATGAAGGGAAGGGGAGGTGTAGCATGAAGTGAAGGAGGTGTAGCATGGAAGGGAAGGGGGAGGGTGTAGCATGAAGGGGAAGGGGGAGGGTGTCACATGAAGATCTCAAAACAAGTCCATATCTACGTTCGAAAATTAAGTACAGTAATAATTAAAATTTTATTACAGTATGATGCTATAACGTTGATGTACACGTGTTTACTTGTCATTCTGATAAATGATTAAAAAAAACACCTCACTGAATAAAACAAACATCGTGTACCTTTCTACTTAAGAGATTCGTGTTTGAAGTCACCTGTTAATACCAGCAATTTGTTACCTGGATAATCTCACTGGACCTACTGCAGGTAGATCCAGGTGGCTTTTCTTTAATGAGGTTTCCATCCATTTCTGAATAATTGTTGTCTCCTTTCTTCAATGTACCTCAATTTAATTCTTACATCTCTCAGTTCATTCCCTCTCACTTGACCCCTCCGCCTCTCATCATCGTCTCCTCTTCTGAACACCCATCGATGAAAACATTAGCCGCTTCATACACTTCCATGGGACATGTCTTATCGATGTCCACATCCCCGCACTCACACACCTGTTAGGGAGAGAGAAAGAGAGAGAGAGTGAGAGAGAGAGAGAGAGAGCACACTTACCCTTGCGGCATTCATTGACCTCTAAGAACACTGACCCTTGTGGCACCTCTAAGAACACTGACCCTTGCGGCACCTCTTATAATCCCTTGCGGGACCTCTTAGAATCTCTTGCGGCACCTCTTAGAATCTCTTGCGGCACCTCTTAGAATCTCTTGCGGCACCTCTTAGAATCCCTTGCGGCACCTCTTAGAATCCCTTTGGCACCTCTAGAATTCCTTGTGGCACCTCTTAGAATCCCAGGCACCTCTAGAATCTCCCAGGCACCTCTAGAATCCTCCTTGCGGTACTCTATGGAATTTGGATGAATGACTCTGGGAGACGCATATAAGAAACGGCTCATCAGGTATGCAACGGTAGTCTAAAGCTCACTCCAGACCTGCCACCCACGAGAGAGAGAGAGAGAGAGAGAGAGAGAGAGAGAGAGAGAGAAAGAGAGAGAGAGAGAGAGAGAGAGCAAAGAGCACATAGATAGATAAACAGAGAAAGAGAGAAGAATGGGTACGTAAGAGAGAAGAGAGAGAGAGAAAAAAAATAAAGAATGAAAAGAAAGAAGAGGGAGACAGATTGGCAGATAGATAAACAGCGAATGTAAAAGAGAGAGAGAGAGAGGGAGAGAGAGAGAGAGAGGAGAGAGAGTGTGTGTGTGTGTTGTGGGCCATAAATTAGTAGTGACAGGAGTAAAAGATGGAAGGAGAAAAAAATAGGAAAAGGAAGTAAAAGGAGAGAAAAAAGGGGAAGAGAATGAAAGGAAGGAGTAAATAGAAGAGAAGATGATAAAGGAAGCATAATCCAAAATCTACAAGGAAATGAAATGAATTCCATTAGAGAAAGAGGAGAAGAAGAAATAAGAGAAGATAAAAAGAGATTGGCTATTGGTGGATGTGTGTGTGTGTGTGTGTGTGTGTGTGTGTGTGTGTGGACATGCAGGTCATTCAGTAGAGGGACAGCAAAGAGTTTCACCAGGTCAAACACACCTAACTTTTCTTTCTTTCTCTCTCTCTCTCTTCACGTAGTTCGTACCCACGGAAGATAATGGTGTGTGTGTGTGTATATGTGTGTGTGTGTGTGTGTGTGTGTGTGTGTCGCAAGTACCAGCAACGCATTATGCAACAAGTGAACTACTCGGCGCATGTGTAAGAATGGTCGCTAATGCGTCTCGTTAGTTACCTTAACGACGCACTTACAGACTTCGTGCTGCTCCGGGATGTAGGCCAATCAGAGAGCCTCCTACCTGCGTTTATCACCACCACATTATCTTAATATAGCGGTGGACAGGGCGCACCTATAGTCATAATACAAACAGCATCAGAATATTTTTTAGAGCAATGGACTTGATGTTAAATGGAGGGAGAAATGGGAGAGAGGGAGAGGAAGGGTGGAAAGGGGGGAAGGGAGAGAGAGAGAGAGGAAGGGTGGAAAGGGAGAGGGGAAGGGAGAGAGAGGAAAGGTGGAAAGGGAGAAGAGGAAAGAGAGAGAGAGAGTAGTGAAAAATAGTGGAAAATGGAAAAGAATAGGAGACAGAAAGGGGGGTTGAAAATTAAGAGGGAATGGGAGACAGAGAGGAGGAGGATGACAAATGGAGAGGAAAATGGAAATTGAGAGGAAGAGGAGAAAGAGAGGGGGTGACAAATGGAGAGGAAAAGGGAAAAGCATAGGAGAAAGAGAGAGAGAGAGAGGGGGGGGGAAACGAAGAGTATAGGAAAGAAGAAAGGGAGTGAAGGAATGAGAAATGACGAGAAAACGGAAGAGGAGGGGAAAGAAGGGAAGGGAGGTGGAAAGGAAGAGAAAGGGAGAAAAAGAGAGAGACAATTTCTTTTTTAACATAAAGTGATAAAGTTAGGTTAGGTTATGCTAGGCTACACACACACACACACACACGCACACACAGTCACACACACACACACACACACACACACACACACACACACACACACACACACACACACACACACACACACACACACACACACAGTCACACCTACCAAAACATGATGGCGTATTTCCAGCAAGCGATCACCTGGTCTTATATTGTATACTTAATATCCTGCAATGATCATTTATCCCAAGTAGGTATGTTGAGTGTATGTGTGTGTGTGTGAGTGTATATATGTGTGTGTTTGTGTGTCATTATATAAACAAAACTCCAACATTCATATTACATAACAAAACCGTCATCATATATTACTCCCTGTCTCTAAATACCTAACTAATGTGAGATTTTTTTTCTTAATCCTGTACCCACTTTGAATGACCACCTTGACACCAGTACTTATCTCCTGGGGGGTCTTGACACGGTTATTACCCAGCCTTGACAACCAACTCAGCCACTACTTTGTCTTCAACACTTAATATTTAACGGAAAATTATCATAACTCTGGGATCATTTACAACTCTTATTTTAATCCACTGTGATATTTAATTATTTTTTATCTTTTATTTTTGTCATTTTGTTTAAGGTGATATTGTATATGTTGTGTTCAGATTAAAATTATCACATTCTTTGATTTATTAACATATCTTACGGTCGGAATTGATTTATAACGACTTAATAGCTTAACTAGTTTTCGATTTTCCTTAATACTTGTTACTATTTTTTTATGGGATTATATTAATGGTAGATATAATAGCACTCATTTAATCCCACATCTTTAATTAATACCTAAACGTATAAGTACAGATAGATAGATAGATAGATAGATAGATAGATAGAAGAGATTATAGCTCATTAAAAGTTGTCAAATTAGTATCTTAACTTTATGGTCTTAAATTAAAAAAAAAAAAAACATAACTTAAAAAAAAAATTACAACTCTCTCATACAGCAAAACAACAACAGCAGCAACACAACTTATACAACAAGAACACAAACTTAAAAACATCAATAACAACAACAATAATACAAATTACTCATACAAAAGCAACAACAAAAACATACACACCAACAAGAACAACAAAGAAAAAGTGACTTACTCTGGGTATAAACTCTTCTAGTTCCTCCTCTTCCGCTTTCTTCATTTCTCCTATAAAGTCAGTTGATTCAATCCAGGTAGGGTAAGTCCCGGTGTACCTTAACGACTGTACCGGTGGACCGAGAATGAGGAAGAAATGTGATATAATGAACCACTGGAACTGGACCGGTACACGGGAGGGAGGGAGAGGGTGTGACTGAACCAATGGAACTGGACCGGTACACGGGAGAGAAGGGAGGGAGGGAAGGAAGGGGTGAGACTGAACCAATGGAACTGAGACGGTGGACCAAGGGGGTGGGGTTATACGGAAGGTGAGATAATGAAGTAATTAACCTTGAAGGTAGGAACAGTATGGCATATCAGATCAGGTGTGTGTGTGTGTGTGTCTGTGTATGTATGTATGTATGTATGTATGTATATATGTATGTGCTAGTATAAAAGTGTATAAAGGAAAAATTCTAGGAATGATTCAGTTTGATTCCAAGTAAAATTATATATTAAATTTTTAGGAAGAACACGAAGAAAAGTTATGCTCTGTTATTCGTTAAGTAGTTAAAACAGAGAGAGAGAGAGAGAGAGAGAGAGAGAGAGAGAGAGAGAGAGAGAGAGAGAGAGAGAGAGAGAGAGTATTAAGAAGAAAGAAAGAACAGAATAGTAATACGAAACAGAGACAGACAGACAGGCAGACAGACAGACAGACCCACGTGACCCCCCAAACAAAATTACTCACAATGCGACACGGGAAGTTGTGCACCGCTGTGTCCTCCCTCCTGACAGTAAGGAAGGCCACGGAGCAGTTCTGTTTGGCTGCCTCTTCCTTCCCCGTCAGTAGTTCCTCGTCTCCTCCGACGATCTCCGTCTCGTTCGTGAATCTCTTCGTGATATTCGCGTCTTCTGGACTGTTCGTACTCGTCTCGTTCGTGAAACTTATCGTGATATTCGCCTTCTGGATCATCTTACCGTCTCGTTCGTTACATTCCGCTTCCTCTGGACTGTATTGTACCGTCTCGTTCCGTAAAACTCGTCGCGGTATTTTCGTCTTCTGACTGTTCGTACCGTCCTGTCTGTGACATCTGCGTCTTCGTGGACTGTTCGTGCCTCGTCCTCTGTCTGCAAACCTATCGTGATATCTGCGTCTTCTGACTGTTCGTACCGTCTCTGTTCGTGAAACTCGTCGTGACATTTTCGTCTTCTGGACTGTTCGTACTCGTCTCGTTCGTGACATTCGCTTCCTCTGGACTGTTCGTACTCGTCTCCTTCGTAAAACTTATCGTGACATTCGCTTCCTCTGGACTGTTCGTACTCGTCTCGTTCGTGACATTCGCGTCTTCTGGACTGTTCGTACTCGTCTCGTTCGTGAAACTCGTCGTGACATTTTCGTCTTCTGGACTGTTCGTACTCGTCTCGTTCGTGAAACTCGTCGTGACATTTTCGTCCTCTGAATTGTTCATACTCGTCTCGTTCGTGAAACTCGTCATGACAATTTCGTCTTCTGGACTACTCGTACTCGTCTCGTTCGTGAAACTCGTCGTGACATTTTCGTCTTCTGGACTACTCGTACTCGTCTCGTTCGTGAAACTCGTCGTGACATTTTCGTCTTCTGGACTACTCGTACTCGTCTCGTTCGTGAAACTCGTCTTGACATTTGCATCGTCTCTACAGTTCGTACTCGTCTCGTTTGTGAATCTTGTCGAGACATTCACGTCATCTGTACTTGCCTTCAGCAGGAGTACCATTATCGACCCCATCAGGAAGAACAGAAGGGTAATCGATAAGTGCACAACCTTAGGTGGCTTTGGTAACCCAGCCTGGTGTCTATTATCGTCACCAATCATCTGTCCTAATTCCGTCCTTTACAAAGACGCAATTTTCACTTTATAAAAACAAAACTCACCATCAAAAGTGCATTAATATCGTAAAATAATGTAATCGTGTCCCCGTGGTGTGACCTAAGGAGTCAATGTGTTGTTTCTTGAGGCGTTGAGAGAATCACAAATGCTGGAGACACAGAGGACAGCATCTGAAGGCCGTAGAAAGAAGGTGGAGGAATTAATCACATTCGCTAGGAACCACAGCGCTGTTATCTCATCGAATCTGGATAACAACAGACGCTGGGAGGTTCTCAGGGTGTCTCAGTTACCACAGACGCTAGAGAACCGCTGACACTTTAAGAACCACAGATTATAAGACCTCTACTTTCACCACCACAGCTTGAAAGGAAGGAAACAGTGATGGGTGTTCACTGCACTAGGTCTGGCTTTTCACTGCGGCTCTAACACTGGCTAACAGCTGATCGTACCCCACACGTTTTGTCAACAGTGTAGGGAAGGTTTACTAACTGGTCCAGCCGCTGGTGTTGTGAGAGAAAGGCGTCAAACACCGTAATCAACCCTGACTAACATCAGCCATAAGTGTGTAGCTAAATATTACACCTTTCGTTATCGAGTTTCGGGGCTACGAAGGACAACACTAGCATACATATTATTATTATTACGTTACATTCTCCTGTTTTGAGCACTGATTGGAGAGGACATATGAGGGATTATACCTGAAGACTTAATGCCCTTAATATCAAAGTTACCCTTCCAATGTTTACACGTTGGCTAGAGGTGAATGTTCCTATGTATTTATAAAACTTTTAAAGGGTTTTACTCCTTCCACGAGAACAATACATTGTTCTATTAAAAAAAAGAAACTCATTGTTTTTACTCAGTTGTTATAGATGTTACCTATTGAAGAACTTTTCTTATAGATGCAGTGCAGTGATCAAACTGTCTTGATATCGTTTTGTTAATAATAATAATAATAATAATAATAATAATAATAATAATAATAATAATAATAATAATAATAATAATAATAATTATAATAAATATTTTTGATTTTGTTGTAGGTAATATGTGAAAGTCCGATTTATTCCCTCAATACTTATATTTTCTTGATCTTTTATATTTTTTCCACAGTAAGAAAACAACACAAATCAGGGTCACCTAAAGATTAGACACCCTAAGTTATTGCACCTGAAAATTAACCACCTTATACCTGACCTAACCTAGCCTAGCTGAACCTAACCTTACCATTAGCGTTAGGGTGTTTATTCTCCAGGTGCAATAATCTGGTTGGCTAATAATCGGTTTATTGCAGTAAGGTGTTGGGCGTGTCTGCTTCTCAGTCATCGTGTAGGTCGGGTTGATATGGTTGTGACACACTGTGTATATATGACCTGAAAGACTATGACGCACAATGTATAAGGCGTGTAAGACTATGTCACAGTGTATAGGACTCGAAAATAAAAACACACCGTGTGTACATTTCACAATTGAATGACGCACTTCGTTTATAACTCATTAAGTAAGTAACACACCGTGTGCAAAGACACGTCGTGAGTATACGCCGTGACACACCACAAGTGAGTAAGCGACACACGTTGCGTTAGTGACTCATGGTGAGCGTGACAGAGTGTGTGTGCGGGTACGTTGGTCAGCCTCCTTCCCTCTCCCTCTCTGGCGGTCTCAAACAATGCTTATCACCAAACCAAAACAAAGTTTGTCTATTACCAAACACTGGCCGAGTCGCTTTCAACACCGTCCCCATTACGTCGCCGCTGTGGCCAGTAACAACGTCAATATTTTCACACAGTGACCTTCGGCGCCTTCTGCAGACAACCCCTAGTTCGGAAGGGGATGTTATTTCTCTTTTAAGTTTCCCCTTAACACAGAGTATCCTTTTAGAGACTTTGTTTTTCTTTAATACGGACTATCTTTATCAATTAAACTGGGTTTTGTCTGCCTGTACGCCCGAAGAGGCTGTCTCCACCCAGTCTCCCTTCAACAGACTCTCTTTACTGATACTGAAGCTGTTTTCTTCCACATACTGGCTGGTGTTTTTTCTTCCATAAGATTATATACATTTGAAGAAGCTGTTTTAATAAATATTTCTCCTCAATACACACTGTGTTCACCTGACACTTCCGTCTACTGTGATACAGACAGCCTTCATTTATATAGGGGCTGTGTTTTAATAGCTATCAAACCCTATTCCTAAAACCAATACTTAGAACATCTGTTTGATTGTCTTTCTTACTTTAAACGGCTCTTACTTATAAAGGAAGAGCTGTTTGTGTTTAAGGTCTCATTATTGTTGACTAAATTTACTGCAGAAGAGAGAAGGTATAATACTCCTACACAGTTAAACCTTCTCCAGTCAGCTTCCAGATCTAATTCTGTATCACCTCGCTCTCTCTCACCTCCTGTTAGCTATCTCTCTTCAAAAGCAAACTCCTTTCCTGATAATCTCTCACTCTACTTCAGGCCTTCAGGATGACGTAGAGATAAACAAATAAACACACACACACACACACATCACTTCCTTGTCGCCCTACCACCACCTCCTTCCCTTCTCCTTACACGACCTTGCTCCCTCCATCCTCCTCTCTACCACCCCCTTTCCTCCCCCCTCACCACCCCTTCCATACCAAAGTCCTCACCTCCCCTTCACCACAATCCCCCCTAACCTTCCCTCCTCAACACTATCACCACCGTCCCCACTCCCTACCTCCTTCATCCTTCCCTACCCCCTCCTCACCACTACCCCCTTCCCCTCCCCAGCGTCTCCAGGTGACCACACCCACAACATCGCCCCCGCCAGTCACACATTAGAGGTAATAACAGGTTTGCATTCACTCGACCAATGTTCAAATAAACACGGAATTACAGCGACAACCTCGGCCACCTAAGACCCGCGTCACAAAGGTACTGACACACACACACGTCGACCACCTGCTAGCCCTGGCTCCTTCCTCCTGAGAAATTCTTAAGATTTTTTTTTCTAACCTTTGAGATATTTATTAATAGTTAAGATAGAATGTAAGTGTAATTTCGATTTTATTTTTTTATTTATTTATTTTTTTTTTGGACGTGTTGAGTTAAGATTTTTTTTTAATTAGTAGTTACGAGGGGAAGAAATAATGAAGGGAAATGTTTAAGGAAGGAATGTTTTGAGAATCTGCCTGTAGAGACCAGTGGCCTCGAGTGGTCAGATAAATAAGTTGACAGCAGAGGTCGAGGGCCACACATTACCCCAAGCCTAAATTATAAAACCAGGCGGGTCTTTTTCTCCTTAAATTGGGGAATATAAAAAATATATATATATATTTTAACCCAGAAAAAAGACATTATTTTCGATTTTTCACTCTTATATGATCCTAAATAGATGAATAAACCTTTAATTAGTGATTTTTTCCTCAATGATGATTCCAAATGGTTTATGGTCGCTGGGTTTAATGAAGTGAGGGAGTGAGACGCTTCAGGTTAACCCCAGGAGGAGCTGAGGTGGACTAGCCCAGGTAAAGTCATTAAAGTAGGTAGGTAGGTAGGTAGGAGGAGGAGGAGGAGGAGGAGGAGGAGGACAGAGGGAGGATGATGGTGAAGTCTATAGGCCTATGGGGGAAGAAGAGGATCAGGAGGAGGGAGGGAGGGAGGGACAAGGACAAAGATTGAAGGGGTATATAGGGAGGGGGTGGAGGGTCGATGGGGAGGAAAGAAGGGTAGGAATCATGACCACATTCTTGGTTTTATTTTCCAGGTTGAGAGTAAAATTATGTCCTCTGTCCTATCCTTGTTAATACGTGGGTGAGGCGGTGTATGATAGGTGGGTGAGGCGGTGTATGATAGGTGGGTGAGGCGGTGTATGATGATGGGTGGGTGAGGCGGTGTATGATGGTGGGTGAGGCGGTGTATGATGGGTGGGAGTGATATGATAGGTGGGTGAGGGCGGTGGATGCGTGGGTGAGGCGGTGTATGATAGGTGGGTGAGGTGTATGATGGGTGGGTGAGGCGGTGTATGATAGGTGGGTGAGGCGGTGTATGATAGGGTGGTTGAGGCGGTGTATGATACGTGGGTGAGGCGATGGTGTATGATGGGTGGGTGGGGTGGTGTGTATGATGGGTGGGTGAGGCGGTGTGTGATAGGTGGGTGTGAGGCGGTGTATGATGGTGGGTGGGCGGTGTGATAGGTGGGTGAGGCGGTGTATGATACGTGGGTGACATGATGGGTGGGTGTGGTGTATGATGGGTGGGTGAGGTGGTGTATGATAGGTGGGTGAGGCGGTGTATGATAGGTGGGTGTGTGATAGGTGGGTGAGGCGGTGTGATAGGTGGGTGAGGCGGTGTATGATACGTGGGTGAGGCGGTGTATGATGGGTGGGTGAGCGGTGTATGATAGGTGGGTGAGGCGGTGTATGATAGGGGGGTGAGGCGGTGTATGATAGGTGGGTGAGGCGGTGTGTATGATATGGGTGGGTGAGGCGGTGTATGATACGTGGGTGAGGCGGTGTATGATAGGTGGGTGAGGCGGTGTATGATACGTGGGTGAGGCGGTGTATGATAGGTGGGTGAGGTGCGGTGTATGATGGGTGGGTGAGGCGGTGGGTGGGTGAGGCGATATGATAGGGTGGGTGGGCGGTGTATGATATGTGGGTGAGGGGTGGATGGGTGGGTGTGGCGTGGGTGTATGATAGGTGGGTGAGGCGGTGTATGATAGGCGGTGGTATGATGGGTGGGTGAGCGTGTATGCTGGGTGAGGCGGTGTTTGATAGGTGGGTGAGGCGGTGTATACTAAACATACTTGGCTATACTCTCCCTATAGAATAAAACTGTATGAATAATAGTCGGTTTTATAATTACAGAAGCTTGGATAGATACAGGGAATAGACAAATTGATATACATACAGCGATAG